TTTTGCATTGAAAACCATGCAAATGTTATACAGGCAAGGAATGTGCTGTTACTATGAAATTACGTGACCGAGCTGTTATAGGCTACATACAGTGGGGCAAAAAAGTATTTAGTCAGCCACCGATTGTGCAAGTTCCCCCACTTAAAATGATGACAGAGGTCAGTAATTTGAACCAGAGGTACACGTCAACTGTGAGAGACAGAATGTGAAAAAAAAATCCATGAATCCACATGGTAGGATTTGTAAAGAATTTATTCGTAAATCAGGGTGGAAAATAAGTATTTGGTCACCTGAAACAAGGAAAATCTCTGGCTCTCACAGACCTGTAACGTCTTCTGTAAGAAGCTTTTCTGTCCCCCACTCGTTACCTGTATGAATGGCACCTGTTTGAACTCATCATCTGTATAAAAGACACCTGTCCACAGCCTCAAACAGTCAGACTCCAAACTCCGCCATGGCCAAGACCAAAGAGCTTTCGAAGGACACCAGGAAAAGTATTGTAGACCTGCACCAGACTGGGAAGAGTGAATCTACAATAGGCAAGCAGCTTGGTGTGAAAAAATCAACTGTGGGAGCAATCATCAGAAAATGGAAGACATACAAGACCACTGATAATCTCCCTCGATCTGGGGCTCCACGCAAGATCTCATCCCGTGGGGTCAAAATGATCATGAGAACGGTGAGCAAAGATCCCAGAACCACACGGGGGGACCTGGTGAATGACCTGCAGAGAGCTGGGACCAAAGTAACAAAGGTCACCATCAGTAACACACTACAACGGCAGGGAATCAAATCCCGCAGTGCCAGACGTGTTCCGCTGCTGAAGCCAGTGCATGTCCAGGCCCGTCTGAAGTTTGCCAGAGAGCACATGGATGATACAGCAGAGGATTGGGAGAATGTCATGTGGTCAGATGAAACCAAAGTAGAACTTTTGGTATAAACTCAACTCGTCGTGTTTGGAGGAAGAAGAATACCGAGTTGCATCCCAAGAACACCATACCTACTGTGAAGCATGGGGGTGGAAACATCATGCTATGGGGCTGTTTTTCTGCCAAGGGGACAGGACGACTGATCCGTGTTAAGGACAGAATGAATGGGGCCATGTATCGTGAGATTTTGAGCCAAAACCTCCTTCCATCAGTGAGAACTTTGAAGATGAAACAAGGCTGGGTCTTCCAACATGACAATGATCCAAAACACACCGCCCGGGCAACAAAGGAGTGGCTCCGTAAGAAGCATTTGAAAGTCCTGGAGTGGCCTAGCCAGTCTCCAGACCTCAACCCCATAGAAAATCTGTGGCGGGAGTTGAAAGTCCGTGTTGCTCGGCGACAGCCCCAAAACATCACTGCTCTCCAGAAGATCTGCATGGAGGAATGGGCCAAAATACCAGCTACTGTGTGTGCAAACCTGGTAAAGACCTATAGTAAACGTTCGACCTCTGTTATTGCCAACAAAGGTTATGTTACAAAGTATTGAGTTGTATTTTTGTTATTGATCAAATACTTATTTTCCACCCTGATTTACGAATAAATTCTTTACAAATCCTACCATGTGATTCATGGATTTTTTTTTCACATTCTGTCTCTCACAGTTGACGTGTACCTCTGGTGCAAATTACTGACCTCTGTCATCATTTTAGGTGGGGGAACTTGCACAATCGGTGGCTGACTAAATACTTTTTTGCCCCACTGAAAATGTGCACATGACATAACTAGCAGCTGGGCTTACTGCCAAGTTGCTCCACATCTGGAAAGAAATGTATGGTGCTTTTGTGAAAGGCATTAAAGAAACAGGTATTTACTGAAGGACATCAAAAATACATTGAGACCACTGGATAAATGTAATTTATGTTTAATACAAACTTTCCTGCCAAATTATACAAATTTGAACACTCTTAGCTGAACATGTTAAAAATGTCAGGGTGTTGCAGTGGTTAGTGCTGTCACCTCACAGCAAACAGGTTCCTGGCTGGGCCCTTTCTCCAACTTGGACTTTCTCAGTGCGATAAATAAACTATTTTTAAAATGGCTTAAAAATAGTATGCCTAAAGAGTGTACCTGTAACCCATCTCAATTTCCTTCTAATGCTTTGATGACAACAGCACTCAAGGTGACTCAAGATTCATGGACTTCAACCTGACACATGGAGTCCAGCATGATCTGATAATGTTTGAAAGAGCTCTTTTATAATACGTTTCACGTTCTCAGAGACCCTCGGCAGAGCCAGGCTGTCTTTGTCCTAGCTGACTGACAAAACCTAAAACTCCAGTCAGAGATGGTGTGTATCACCACTATGATTATCAAAACTGAAAATACAGACAATATCCTCACTCACTTTAAATTACTATCCCATTTGGCATTAGGTTAGTAATAATTTATTGATACAGATATTTTTCCTAAAGAAAGAAGCTACACTGGATCTGTAGCCTCAATGTTTATGGCAACCATCTTCAATACCATTCCTACAGCGCTGGCCAAAACAGATGAATAGGCAAAGCTGCACTGCAAACAGGAGATCCAGGGTTACCAATTGTGGTTAGTGTACAAATAGTACAATCCAGCAAAGACTGAAAGCGAGCTTACTGCAAACAGGCAACCTCATGTGCTCCAAGTGCGTACTCTGAAGAGCACAAACCCAGGACAGGTCCAGTATCAGCAAATGTGCAGTTTGTTAATTAAACATTGCTTTTAGACAGTGAAGACTTGGGTCACATTTTAAAGTTTAATGCTGGCTCCTTTGAGCGACCTGTTTTTTCACCAGTGTTTGTAGAAGCGCTCAGCATTGCCATTTAGTTGATACAACATGCTTACGGTTCAAAATGAAGTTTGCTCATTTAAAAAAAAAAAAAAAACACTTTAAAAATTAATTAATACACATTATGACCTATAAAAGCAAATAGCTTAAAAATCCAGTAATGTTCGGTAAAGAGGAAAATGTTTCAAATGACAGGAAAATCACTGGAGTTATACTGTAAGAGGCAGAAAAGCATACACACACCACGTCTATCTTATTGCTATTTATTGTGGCTTAACCTGTCAAGAACAGACATGTAAAGAAAATTCTGTGTCAAGCCTTGTTATCATGTTGCCTACATTTGTTAAGTATGGATGGCTTGGTAGCATGATGCTTAGCACTGTTATCTCACAGTAACAAGGTCCTGAGTTCAAATCCACCAAAATGCCTGGGCCTTTCTGTGTGGAGTTGACATGGATTCTCTTTATTTTGCTACATGAGGGTATAAAAGCACAAGAGCTGAACTCAATTTACATATCAAGGGATGGGGAAGTAAAAGTAAATTCAAAATAGAACCCACAAAAAATTTAACTAAAAGTAACTAAGGTAAGGGGGAGAAAAATGATGACCTCGCCTCCACCCTCTTTATTTCAGTTTGGCTTGGTCCAGGTGCACTTGCTCCTAGCTGATGCCGAGCAGTAAGACGTTGGGATGGCTCAGTTAAAATTGAAGTCTGTATTTAAAGAAAGAAAAGAGACAGGGGGAAATGAAACAAATAAAGTCCACAGACACTGTTTGACTTAATTAGCTAATATATTTAATTTCTAACAAAAAATAACGTGTTTGAGTTATTTTAGCCAACACGTAATTGTACTAAATGTACTAAATCACTTATCTGCTACCTGCTGTGAGGCCAAACAGATCAAACCTCTGGCTCAGGCTGTTGTATCCTCACACCCACACTCCTGACACTGAACCAGCCCCACTGATATGTGAAGAATGAGGTAAGTTATTTTAAGTAAAAAAAACAAAACATGTCTAAATTGCAGGATGCCATTTGGGACTTTTTTCCCCATGCACTATTAATGTTTTAATTTGATTAATTTAATTAAGAATCCATTATCATTATAACATCACATAAAGTGCATTTTTGGACAAGTGTGCATTGCTCTGCATATGTTTTGCACACTGCCTGTGACTGCTGCTGTTTTCCAATACCTAATATTATAAAAAAAATACTTTCACCATTTTATAGATAAGAATTTAAATACTCTTCCATCCAAAAAGTTAACATATATTTGTATTTATATTTTATAGTTATATTTTGTGTAAAGTACCAATCACTGTAAAATAAATAAACAATAAATAAATGAATAAATAAATATTTTTAATGTAATGTTATCAATAAAAATATTAAAATGTAAAAAATGACTTGCACACATCTCATCAGTCATGCATAAAATAAAAATATCTATTTAAACAGAATATTGATCCTTGTCTGCAAAGTGTTACAGATTTAGGGCTGGCATGGTTTGCAATAGTAAAGTGGTCTGGCCAAAAGGGATTTTTTTCTCTTATCTGGGCCCCAAACCTTAAAACAGTCCTGCTAACTAGATTTAAAGATAAGACATGCACAATTAATTAAACATAGAAAAAGCACAGGAGAGGCTACGTTCAACTAACACACAAAGAATCCATTATTATATTTCTAAAACACCAGACTAGAATAGTCCTAGAATAATCCTAGAAACATAATAATAAATCAAAACTAGAGCTCAAGAATAACAATGAAAAGTAAACTAAAAACTTGTAATACAATAACCTCACAATAATCACAATAACCAGGAAAGGACCCAACAAAAACCAGACCATGTCACACTTTCTTTTATTGTAAAGATGATCAAAATCCTGATTGTAATAAAGCAACCATTTGAAAAACAGAGGACTAGTGTTTAAAGTGCGTCTTTAAAAACGAAATAAAAATAATAATAATGCTATTATGTCTGTAGAATTGGGGGGGGGGGGGTGTCTACAAGTTAGACCTTTGCAAATGTAATAACCAGACAGTTTCGCGTTTTTCAGTATAAAAATACTTGACTGTAGCCCATGTAGCCTATATTTGCCCGTATTCTTATTCCTGTGTAATGGTCTGGTAATGGTGGTTTCCCCATAGCAGAGATGGCAGTATATTCGTTATTAATTCTTCGCTGTGATTTTCAAATTTTGCAAAGCAACACAGTGGACCAGACTGAAACCCAGCAACTTTTATTCCCACTGTGCATGTTTGACACGCATACTTCAATGGAACCGCGTGAGGGTTCCGCCTAATGTGCATCGCCTTTGCTACCCATCTGTATGAGATATAATTAGATTATTTCACCTTTGTGACACGCGGATTCATTTGATGATATTACTTTTTTATTTAGGTTAAAGAAAAAAAGAAGAAGAAATAAGAGAGCACTTGAAAAGTTTTAGTGGTATTTCTACTTCAGACTGTCCACTCCAGTTTCATACATAGCTGTTGCTGTATTGTGTCCGTTTTCTCTAAACAAACGGCAGTAATTAGGCTGTGCCAGACTCTTAAAACAAGTGCTGTTAAAATCCCTTTTATGGTTTGAGTCTGAGTCGGTTACATGTTGAGGTGAAAAATACAACTCATGGTGAAGTATATCAAAGCTTCATCTAACAGTCCAAAGGTAGGGCAGTGTAGCACATAACACAAATAAGTGTCAACAGCATACTTCCTGCTGCACTGTACAGAAGAAAGATTTGAGGCTTACTAAATACGCAGAAAATAAAAATATATAAGTTGTTACAATGCTTAACACTTGGAACAGTTCAGAAATAGAGGTATATGAGCTGGAGCTTCAGCTTTAAGTCTTTTCGGTAACATCCAGGGAACCATCCGGACACTTGACTTTCTCTGTGCACTGACACCTCAGTGACCTACCCCTCGCCAGTCCTCCCTTAAGCACAATCATCAGTCGCAGTCACGTACTTTGTTCACGGATCTGTGGAAGTGCTGGCGGTGCGTGACATGTATAGACGAGCAACTCGCGTAAACTGATTCTGCGCCCTATCCACTCCTCTTGTCGAAACTGGTGCACATGTCTGCGGGTAAATCCACGTCCGCTTCTATGGGTTTGCGGTAAATAATTGCGCTTTTGAGTCCGGCAAGAGACATCCTGGTCCGATTACTGAAGTCTTGAAACTTAGTCAGGAAATCATCATTTCCTACTATATAAATCAGCGGGTTTATCGCGCTGTTTAGACAAGCCAGGAATCTGCCGACCTGGTGTGCAATGTAGATGTCGTCGAACAGGTGGTGACAAAGCCCATCTTGTTTCAAAATCCTGGTAGTGAGATTTAAATTTCGAAATATATGGTAGGGAATGAAACAGACGGAGAAAAGTATGACCAGAATCACGACCAGTTTCAAACATCGCTGCTTCAGCAGTGGGTTGACATTGGCGTTCTTTGCCAGAACCACCACGATGTGTCCATAACAGCCCAAAATGATGACCAAAGGCAGGACAAACCCGGTGACCGTCCAGCTGATGCTGTATGGCAGGTAGTATCTGGTCAGGTTGGTTGAGGTGGTGTCAAAACACGAGTTTGGTTTTTTTTCATCATTCTTGTCAAAGAATATATCAGGAGTAATTTGAATAATGACCAAAACCCAGACCAGAGCGCTTATGGCCAGAGAGTGGCGACTGGTGATTTTCCCCATCACTTTCATCGGGTGCACAATGCCCAGGTACCTATAGATGCTTATGCAGGTAAGGAAGCCGATGCTGCCATAAAGGTTGAGGTTGAAGCAGAAGCGCGTCACCTTGCAGAAAGGCTGGCCAAACTGCCAGTCACTCTCACGCGCGTAATAGTAGACGAGGAACGGCAGGGTAAACAGATACAGCAGGTCCGCCACCCCGAGATTGAACATGAAGATGTTGATGTTTCCGTTTTTCTTCCAGCTCACACATACGCTTCTCAGTCCACAGATATTGGACACCGTCCCGACAATGAACACGGTGATAAAGACGGGCGGCAAAAAGCTGTGCGTAAAATTTAGATTGATTAGGTTGCCCTCACAAGGTCCTTTTGTGTTGTTTACAGACATCTCTCGCATGGATGTAAAACCTTTGTCATATAAAATCTCCTACAAAAACACAGCAGTCAGTGATCGGCTCGCTCAGAGCAATGACCTCCACTGAAAGCTAATCGTGGAAAAAAAAAAAACAACCCACAAGTGAATATGCAATTTAAAAAAAGTATCCGCCCACTTTTTTCCAGCTATGGTAGCACACTCATAATGACGTAAAGAATGGGGGGGAAGTAAAAATAAAAACAGACACGCACAAAGTACAAATTAAATCATGTATTGCTTTAAATCATTTGACATCACAGATGCAGTCAGCTCACTGCTGTGTAAAACGACACTAAAGGATACAGCTAGCTATCTCACCGTACCTTATAATATTTAAATGACTTCGATGGTATGTGGCCCAACCAACTGAAACACATAAAAACAAATGAAATGAAATAATATTTAAACAAGCTACAGAAACGTTTTCAAAGATCAAAGAATATGGATTTATTAAAAGATTAATCAAAAAACTGTTCTGTTGTACAGAATGTCACAACATAGACATTCTGCTTTATGACATTAATTTCCCCAGGCGTCTCTACTCTGTTCCAGTTCCCCTTTTTTGTATGTACAGTCACTATAATCCTTTGTCACACTGTCTGTGGAACCAGTCTGGCCATTCTATTCTGACCTCTGGTGCCAGCAAGCCACAAACTAGATAAGCAATCGTTAATCTACTTGATTTAATCAGGCTAAGATATAATATATGACACACTGGGTTCTTATATGTTCTTATTTCAGTTCTATTTATATGTGCGTATTGAAGTAGACCAATGACACAATGGAAGTCGAAGTACTATACTAGTAATGCTGATTATTTGTCTCCACCTAGTGGCTTACCCCAACACATACATACATGGTTGTTCTCATAAACAGGTAACGCTATAAAACGAGACAACATTCGAATTCACAGCAATTTAGAATACCTAAATAATCTAATAAGTACAGTGGGGCAAAAAAGTATTTAGTCAGCCACCGATTGTGCAAGTTCCCCCACTTAAAATGATGACAGAGGTCAGTAATTTGCACCAGAGGTACACTTCAACTGTGAGAGACAGAATGTGAAAAAAAAATCCATGAATTCACATGGTAGGATTTGTAAAGAATTTATTCATAAATTAGGGTGGAAAATAAGTATTTGGTCACCTCAAACAAGGAAAATCTCTGGCTCTCACAGACCTGTAACGTCTTCTGTAAGAAGCTTTTCTGTCCCCCACTCGTTACCTGTATGAATGGCACCTGTTTGAACTCATCATCTGTATAAAAGACACCTGTCCACAGCCTCAAACAGTCAGACTCCAAACTCCACCATGGCCAAGACCAAAGAGCTTTCAAAGGACACCAGGAAAAGTATTGTAGACCTGCACCAGACTGGGAAGAGTGAATCTACAATAGGCAAGCAGCTTGGTGTGAAAAAAATCAACTGTGGGAGCAATCATCAGAAAATGGAAGACATACAAGACCACTGATAATCTCCCTCGATCTGGGGCTCCACGCAAGATCTCATCCCGTGGGGTCAAAATGATCATGAGAACGGTGAGCAAAGATCCCAGAACCACACGGGGGGACCTGGTGAATGACCTGCAGAGAGCTGGGACCAAAGTAACAAAGGTCACCATCAGTAACACACTACAACGGCAGGGAATCAAATCCCGCAGTGCCAGACGTGTTCCGCTGCTGAAGCCAGTGCATGTCCAGGCCCGTCTGAAGTTTGCCAGAGAGCACATGGATGATACAGCAGAGGATTGGGAGAATGTCATGTGGTCAGATGAAACCAAAGTAGAACTTTTTGGTATAAACTCAACTCGTCGTGTTTGGAGGAAGAAGAATACCGAGTTGCATCCCAAGAACACCATACCTACTGTGAAGCATGGGGGTGGAAACATCATGCTATGGGGCTGTTTTTCTGCCAAGGGGACAGGACGACTGATCCGTGTTAAGGACAGAATGAATGGGGCCATGTATCGTGAGATTTTGAGCCAAAACCTCTTTCCATTAGTGAGAACTTTGAAGATGAAACGAGGCTGGGTCTTCCAACATGACAATGATCCAAAACACATCGCCCGGGCAACAAAGGAGTGGCTCCGTAAGAAGCATTTGAAAGTCCTGGAGTGGCCTAGCCAGTCTCCAGACCTCAACCCCATAGAAAATCTGTGGCGGGAGTTGAAAGTCCGTGTTGCTCGGCGACAGCCCCAAAACATCACTGCTCTCCAGAAGATCTGCATGGAGGAATGGGCCAAAATACCAGCTACTGTGTGTGCAAACCTGGTAAAGACCTATAGTAAACGTTCGACCTCTGTTATTGCCAACAAAGGTTATGTTACAAAGTATTGAGTTGTATTTTTGTTATTGACCAAATACTTATTTTCCACCCTGATTTACGAATAAATTCTTTACAAATCCTACCATGTGGATTCATGGATTTTTTTTTTCACATTCTGTCTCTCACAGTTGAAGTGTACCTCTGGTGCAAATTACTGACCTCTGTCATCATTTTAGGTGGGGGAACTTGCACAATCGGTGGCTGACTAAATACTTTTTTGCCCCACTGTATGTCTTGTGCTGTGGGAAGGCACAGTACATGAGATAACCCACATGGTACATGCATAATATGGAAATGCCACGCAGACCCCAGCTAGTTTGAGCTCAGGCCCTTCATGCAGTTATAGCACTGTGATCTGCACTGTTGCCTAGGTTTTGCCATGAACTGCTGAACCTTCTTGTTATTGTGTGTGTGTGTGTGTGCGCGCACACACACACACACACACAATGTATGGATAGATAGATGTATGTGTGTGAGTGACCTGTGACAGAAAGAGATTGCCTTCATATCACAGCCAAGACAGACTAAAAGGTCCTGATATCCAGGATGTTAGTAAAAATGATCAGTGCTAAAACAGAGCTTCTCCCTGTTTCCTAATAACAAAGCACTGCTATTCTTAATCAAAGAAATCAAAATATAAGTTTGATCAATACATAAATGAGAAATGTAGTGTGAATAGTAAAAAAATGACTGTTCTTATGTCTGGTCTTGTTGCAGTCTTGGGCAACTGCTTTGTCAGACAGTAGTAGTATTCATGCCCATTTCTTTCTGTGCCCCACTCTGCCATGTACCTGTTAAAGTGTCTCAACTGCTCTAGAATCAGTTAGTGGTGTGCCTTATAACCACTGCATCAGATGCTTTGCATTGTATTTGGTGATGTAAAGCTTGGATGCAACTGCCCAGCCAGTGAAACTCATTGCATGAAGCGCTCAATGAACTGTTCTTGAGCCAGTCTGTAGGCCACATGAACTTTGGAGGTCTGTAGTGATGTCGCTGACCCCGCTCTGTGATTTTACATCGCCTACTATTTTAATGACTGTTGCTGTCCTTCCCAGTTGTTTCCACTTTATTATAAAACTGCTAATAGTTGACTATTTGACTGATATTTAGTAATAAAGAAATTTCACAAGTGGACACAATTTCACTGAAATTCACTGAGCCCCAGAGAGCTATCCACCTAGGCATGTAGAAGCATGCTTGATTTTATACACCTGTAGCCATGGAAATGATGAACTCCTGTATTCAGTGAGTTGGATGGCTGAATGAATACTTTTGGCAATATAATGTATAAGATTCCAGTTCAGTTGTGAACCATGTCATGGCAGTATACCATGGTCATGGAGATGTTGACTATGTTTTAGTGCACATGGACAAGATGACATAATGCATATTTGTTTGTCTCCGCCCATTTAAAGATTATTGGTACACATGTAAGAAGAAACAGACAGCTGCTTTTCACATTCAATGTCCATTCTGGTTTTTCAGCCCATATGCAGTTTGTGTCTTAGCAAATGACGGTTACAAAACGTCAGATTTTGAAGATAAACATAATTACTGGGACCCTCTGGTGCACTGTGACAAAGTAGCTATGCTTGAACTCATTTAGCACTTCTCCCTCTACCATATTGATAATTTATCCCTTGTTTGTTTGTTTTTTTACAGTTGACCATAATGCTTTAATTTAGACATTGCTGGTGTAACTTTGCTTTACATACTTTCCCGGGTTAGTTTGTGGTAGCATTGGTTACATCCATTACATCCATGCATATATTTCTAAAGCAAATACTATACTAACCATCAAGTCTTTTGAATTTTCTTCTGTTCACAGGTCAATTTCTAACAAATTATGTTTGCTTATGTTGCTTTGGTTATACTTACCATGTTTATCCATTTGTTCAGGTCCTAGATCTAAAACAGGTGCGTGGGAGGGGCCGCCCCAGTACTTGTTTATATAGGGTCATGATGTCATTGGTGCCCAACTGGGTACAACCAACTAGAGGGTTTTTAATTTTGTATAGTATTATTTATTTTATTTTTAGTTGTATTGTATGCAGTGTTTTACTTTTCAGGCCATTTAGCTGGGTAAATTAGTTTGTCGACTGGATGCATAATCGTATTCCTGTTTTTTGATTAGAATTGTAGTGTTTGTTCCAACCTATTTTTCAATGGTAGAGACTAATGAGGTTCAGGTCTGTGTAAAGTCCTGTTGAAAGCAAGTGAGATTTTGCCTACCAGTAGTGATGGCCAAATGAAGCTTTCTGAAGCACTGAAGCTTGTATTGAAAAACGGTTCATTACTCGAAGCTTTTCAACACAGTCCTCTCTGGTGACATCTGGTGGCCAAAAATA